ATTTCCCGTTACCCGTTACAACCATGATATTGATATTAACTACTATCATAACATGAAACTAAAAAGTGAAAAATAAATATAGTTTAAAAAAACTAAAAAACACGCTTTTAAAGCACATCGAACTAAAAAGTTAAAAATAATTTTTAAAATTAACTTAAAACAATAATGAACGAAAAATACTAGTATTATTGTGAAAAAAAGCGTGGGTGCTTTATGCCATATTTTTTGTATATTGAGCGCCTGACGCTTTTTTTCACAATAATACTAGTATTTTTCGTTCATTATTGTTTTAAGTTAATTTTAAAAATTATTTTTAACTTTTTAGTTCGATGTGCTTTAAAAGCGTGTTTTTTTAGTTTTTTAAACTATATTTATTTTTCATCATTATTTTGATTTTTAGCAAAAATTCTCTTTTTGAATTTCCCTGGTTTTAATAATAACATTTTTAAGGCTCATAGGGCCCCAGGTCTAGGGCGGAGCTTAGTTTCTTAAAATGATACAAACTTTATTTTTTTAGATGGCAACATACATTTTTAACTAACTTATATAATAGAAAATATAAAATTTATATTTTAAAAATTAATTTTATAATAGTACTTTGGAAATAATTAATATTTTTATATTTAGGCAGATGAAACGTCTAATTATATAGTTATATCCAAATACTAATATACTGCAAGAGAGAAATTATATTGCAATAAATTGAAAACTACACTAATACACTATAACAATAATTTTAAAACTAAACAACGATTGACGTCAAATTTATTGATTATTTTTAATTCGATGAACAGGTATTTGAGAAAATAATTACTGAAGTCAATCGAGACAAGTATTAAGTGCGACAAATTCAAATAATCAAATGAACAAAGCTAAAGTGTCATAAATGTATAGTACAATAAATATATTACATGAGAGAACGTGACCTTGGCGGCGAAATGGTAAGATTGAAAACATTCTATCTTACTCAATAGTCACGCAGTTGTTTTTCTCGGACATGCTGCGTAGAAATTAATTCATAAGCGAATTGGCAACGTCGCTTTCACTTAGTATGCATAGTTGAAAGGGAGAGTATTGAAATCATTTTCAACGCTTATGATTTCCATCCGTTGCCAGTTTTCCTATTAACTCATCTATTATTTGTTTTTGTAGCCGCTTTGAAATTATCTGACCGTTTGCTGAAATAATTGTTTGAATTGGTCGCTCAAATATACCAAAGTTATTGCTATTAATAAACCGTCTGGTTGAGTTATTTTTCTATTTGTTATTTATCGCCCATTAGTTTAGTAAATAAATTGCATTTATAAAATGTATGCTGTTTATTATGTCGACTTAGTATATTTTTGATACAAATTATTCAAGCACCACTTTTAATAAATTAAAATTATTATAGCTTAAATATTTGTTATATTTGGTAGTGTTGTGGCTCCACCACTTTATTAAATATTAATTTATTAAATATTTATCTCTGCGAATATATGTTTATAATTGATAGGGACATCCGTATGCGGATGTCCCCTTGTTTTCTTTGTATGACTATTTTGCAGCAATAGTCAGTCTAGTGTTGACAGTCTAGTGTCTAGTGTCTACCATTATAGAACTAACATTATAATTGTAAAGCATATTCTTATTTTGAAATGTTATTATGAAAGTTTACTTTATATCTATATACACATTTATATTAATTGTTATATTTCTCTTGTAACGTAATATTTTTCATATAATACATATTACTATTTATAACCAGTATTTCTATCGAAAGTGTTAAATTTATTTCTTTATAAATAATCTCTATTTCCTATATACAACTTGGAGGACTCTGTGCGGATAGCTCAATAGGGAATCCAGACGGTAACCCGAACAACAAATAAATATTAAAATTTCCTCAGGCGAGCCTTACAGGTCCGCCACAGGAGATTTTTGGTGCTGAAACCCGGGATCATCGTCATCATCAGAGTTTTCCAAATTTATTCCATCAAGAAACAGAGAAGACAACGAAGCTAAGGAGAGTGGACAAGTGAAGCCGTGTGCAGAGAACTATCATTTATTTCAGTTTCAGTTCCTATTCCAGAAGCAAACGAAGACATCGTTTCAATGTCGGCTAAAGCGTAAGCGTTTGATTGCATAATTGTCGCGTGTTCTTTTGATTATAAGTTATAGTTATTGTAAATTACGTATACGTGGTTAATTGAGGCCGTATTAATAATTGNTACGTGGTTAATTGAGGCCGTAATAATAATCGTTAATAGTAGTCTATGGAAGATAATTTTGAGGTTAATTTATCCGAATCACAAATTTACGAAATTATAGTAGGTAATTCAGAAAATATGGAATCTAAAACAAGTGAACAATCCAAATATGGTGAGGGACATTGGGATGGAATGGTATCGGTTAGCAAAGTAATAGATAATGTAATAAAATTAGTCCCTGTTTTTACTGGGGAAGTCCAGGAAGAATTACCTAGGTTTATTGATGCATGCGAGTTGGTCGCATCGGTTACTAGAATAGAGCATGTTAATATGATGCTCAAAACTATAATTACGAGATNGTATGATGCTCAAGACTATAATTACGAGGTTACAAGGACAAGCATATGACTTAATAAAATACGAAGTTATAGATACCTGGGAGGAATTAAAAAATATTTTAAAAAACTCGTACGAAAGACCTAAAAATGCTTCTTATCTGCAAACTGCGTTGTTTAGTTGTAAACAGCAATATAAAGAATCGGTAGTAGAATATGCTAATAGGTTAAAAAATTTGTTAAGTCAGGTCTCTAACTGTAGCACGCAAGGAAAAAGTTTACCAGATGCGTTAATTATAAAAAATTGTTTAAGAGAGCAAGTATTAAATGTATTTCTAGAGGGTATATCAGCTTCTATAAAAGTAATGGTAAAAAGCCAACACCCTACAACACTAGACTCCGCTATTCAACATGCGATAGTTGAAGAAAAAAATTTCCTAGCTCAAATTGAGGGGCGTAGGTTAAATAATGTTCGATTTACGCGGGTACCAAATGGTAATAATTTTAAAAATAATAAATTTAATAACCCGGTTAATTCGTCGTTTAAAGGTAGGTGTCATATCTGTTCGAAGGTAGGACACTACGCTCGCGACTGTAGAATGAATGATAGAAATAGAAATAGAAATAATGTAAAACAAACTGTAGTAGAGCATACTTACGTGGTGTGCGAATATTGTTCAAAAGGGGGTCATACAATAGAGAGATGTTTTAAGAAAAAGAATGCAGAAAATAGAAGAAAAAAGAGTCTAAATAATAATACTAGTGACCCAGAGACGAGTTCAAGTAGTTCTAGTCAACCAAGGGAGAAAAGTTTTCCAAAAGAGGTTGGAGATTTAAGAAAACCGCATGATGTAAAATTAATTACTGTAGAAATGGATGGGAACCATATTAGGTGTGAGTCGCCGAATTTTATAGATCCTTGTGCAGAGTTTTTGTTAGACACAGGAAGTAGTGTTAACATTATTAGTTTAAAAAGCTTAACTGATAACACGAAGTTAATACCTGGGGAAAACGTGTACTTAAGAGGGATCAATGCTGAATTGGTAGAAACCATAGGCATAGTAGAGATACCCATCAAAGTAAATAGAATTGATTTGGGTATAATAAAATTTTATATAGTTGATGAAAGGGTTCCATTCTTAAAAGCGGGTATTTTGGGGCAAGAATTCATGAAGGAACAAGGCACAATTATTAACATAAAGAATAGTACTATTTCGTTCTGTAGGGAGAATTCGATTAAGTTGCCACCAAGGTCAGAATATGTAGCATCGGTTTCAGTAAATAAAAATATAGTTGATAGTAAAGTAGCAGTATTAATAGATCGTAAAGAGATTGCTGAAAAAGTTATTGTGGGAAATGTATTAAATATTGTTAAAGATGGAAAAATACTGGTTAATGTAATTAATTTATCTGAGGAAGAAAAAACGATTAAGCCTCTGAATATAAGCGATTTTGAGTATGAAATATTTAACGAAGAATTAGTAATGAGTACGAATGTTGAAAACAAAATAGATAACAATTACTTGGGGTCAGATAGGCGTGATAAATTGATGTCTGAATTGCGTTTAGAACATTTAAATGTCGAAGAGAAAGAAAATGTCATATCCATATGTGCAGAGTACGCCGATATATTCTATTTAGAAGGGGACAAGTTAACGAGTACTGATTCTATAAGTCACGATATAAAAGTGCCTAGTGGACAGTTACCTCTTTATACGCGTCAATATAGGTTACCACATAGTCAACGGGATGAAATAAGTAAGCAAATAAACCAAATGAAACGAGATGGTATAATAGAACCCAGTAAATCGCCTTGGAATTCACCTATCTTGTTAGTTAAAAAGAAATTAGATGCCACTGGGAAGCAAAAGTATAGGTTGGTGGTGGATTATCGGAAATTAAACAATATTACGGTGGGAGATAAAATGCCTTTACCTTTAATACAAGATGTGCTAGATCGATTAGGTAATTCTAAATATTATTCTGTATTGGATTTGGCTTCAGGCTTTCACCAAATTCCTTTAAGTACAGTTTCAAAAGAAAAAACTGCGTTCAGTAGTGATGATGGACATTATCAGTATACTAAATTGCCCATGGGTTTAAAGAATAGTCCGCCAACATTTCAGCGACTAATGAATAATGTTTTATGTAATTTAGTAGGTATTAAATGTCTTGACTATTTGGACGACGTTATTATTTTTTCAGAGNATTTGGACGACGTTATTGTTTTTTCAGGGGATTTAAAAGAGCACAAGAAAAGATTAAGGGAAGTATTTAAACGAATGAGAGAACATAATTTAAAATTACAACCTGCCAAATGTGAGTTTTTAAGAAAAAAAGTTGTTTATCTAGGACAGTGGTCGGCAACCTTTTTTAATTCTCGGGCCACATTTACAAATTAAAAAGAGTTCGCGGGCCAGATAAAAAAAAAAAATTTATAATTACATTATTTATTATGCAAAAAAATACTATCTAAAACTTAAAATAATAATATGACTTATATAAAATACCCGTACCAAAAACGCAACGTTCAATTATATTTATACAAAATGATATTCAATTAAATTAGTCGATTTAGAATTTAAAGCGGGCCGTATTCAATAGCCACGCGGGCCG